GATTCAATATCTATACGAGCACAGAAGTTGAGCCACTGAATAGTCATTAAAAATATCAAGATTGGACATTTGCACGAGTGCAAGCAAGAAAATTGACTACGAATCTACGATTTATTTTATTGTTTTCTTTTTATTAAGCTTCGCATACGGGGACAAATATTATAAACTGTAAATGAGTTGCTGAAACAGGAGGAGTTATATTATAGATTCAATGTCGCGAAAAATGGTCTAACTCTGTATGCCTCCCAGAAACATAAAACAAAATTCGCGGTATTCGGATATTAAGTAGCACGAAATTCTAAACAAAATGTCAGAGCACGAAACATAGGAAATCTCGTTCTAACTTTCTCTATTTGTTTCATGTGTTTCGTTAATCTCAGGAGGATGCTTATGTTTGGTTAAGTCTCAAAGTAGCTATGCGGAAACGTTTTGTGAACATTTAAAGATTCATTTCATATTCATATGCATCATTACACCGCAGCGTACTCGCACAAAAATTTCCCCTGATCATTTGGCTAGGAACATAGAAATTCCATGGTTAATATTTTAATTCGTCCTTACACATTTCAAAATATCCAATATATTAATGAAACGTGTACCCAAACAACAACAATTTTTTTAATGTGTACATAATAAAGATAGAAATTTGAAAAATTTGGTACCATATGTTTCAGCATTTCTGTGGATTCTACGGGTTTCGGTATGTTTTTCATTGTATTCAAATATACGAAACTGATTGTGATTCATCTTTCTCGAATATATTCAGTTTAGGACTTCCTTGTTGAAAGCGAGGCTATTTGTGTCTTTACTTCCGCGACGTCACTATGAAATATGCCAATGCGTCTATTTTTATTCAATAAAAGTTTATTGCAGTTTTAGCAGAATTGTAGTTAGTGAATGCAAGCTAGGTTCCAAGATGTATGAAAATTATATAAGATATATATATATATATATATATATGTATATATATATTTGACTGTTCCTGCTGTTGTGGTCTTCTATTGTAGTCTGGTGTTGATGCGATTTGAATATGGTATCTCTGGATACTTTTAGCCTGTAATAAATATTTAGTAATCGGTATATGGTAATGATAACATAGAATAATAAAATGATGAAATCAAAAAATTCAATTACATTTTTAAGAGAATTTCCTGTCTAGCAATCCACACAATGTAACTTATTACCGAAGCGGAGTAATGTCCAGTGCATGAATTCTATTGGTGAAGAAAAATAGGAATTTATTTAAAATTTGTGTTCGCTAAATGAATTAAGCAATTTTGTATTTGAATGAAAATATTTAAAAAATAACATTATAATTCAAAATGAGTTATTTCCAATAATTGAAATTCCATACAGGGTATAGGGCAAGGAGGCAAGCATTGCAAAATACTTTTTATCTCTCAAACTTTTAGGAAATGTTCCCCGGCATTCTGTCCGAGCAACGTTTCAGAGAAGTATCTATGTTGCGAGCAGAGGCGTGTCAAACTTCTCTGCGAGTTTCTGATAGTGATGCTCCTTGTCACGAAATTCATAAATAATTTGGGAGATGAACAAATTATAGATGTCGTTATACATGAAAATGAATAAATTGAGGGTCAAGTAAGAGTGAAATGTTTGTACAGCATTAGTTTTATTTAAATCAACAGATTCACCCCTATAACGTGCAGGGGCGGCTGGTCATATGGCCCTCTCTAGACGCGCCACTGGTTGTGAGCTATCATAATTTAGACTTTTGTGTACTTGGCACCAAAATTTATTAATTATTTGATTCGTTTTGACAGATTGTATCATTAGTTGTCAGTCAAAATTTTGACTCGCTGCTGAAATTTAGGTTTTATCACAAAAACATCGAATCAAGTATGAACTGCTCGAAGAACAATTCCAACAGTTTCTCTAAATCATTTGAAGATGTACTTAGTGAGAAATTCTACGTGGACATAGTCGTTACAATTATATTGATTTACTTAACGTTCTGCCAGATCTACGTTCTTATTTCGAAGAGATTGCATAAGCTTCGACTTGAAAAATGCACGGACCTTTTGCTGGCTTCAAACCTTCGATCTGTAATGAGTTTGACACTTGTTTTCACTGGCCTAGTTGCCTTATCTAAAATGGTCACGGTGTTTATGTTTCATCGCAATATCAATAGCGTCATATATATATCTGACGTGCTTCTATCACAGTGGGCCTTTACGTCGGAGTATCTCATATTGTGGCTTCGTCAGACAATGTTTCACAGCGAACCATCCTTGAGGCATCTTTCATCAAAACCGTTGCATAATTTCAGTCGTTTTCAAGGACTTTTCATGTTGTTTACTAATTTGTTTCTGAGTATTGCGGTTGGATATGAAGGCATTCGCAATAATGTAATAAGACTGACGTGCTTACCAAGATGGATAACATTTTGTTTTCTTCTTTATCAAATTGAAACTCAAATTTGTACTCTTGCATTATTTATAATTCCGTTATTTCGTCACAGGGAAACTTTGAAAAAATCTCTCAGGGGTCAAAGATTACAACAGAAGTCTATTTACTTATTAAAAAGATCGATGATAATGACTCCCATAACAATTTTAAGTGACATTCTCGCATTCGTTGTGTTATCTAAATTTGGATTATCCGTGGTCTATAATGTCAATGTAGCTTTCAATTTGTGGTGTCTGCTTTTCTGCTTTGACGACTGGAAAGACAGAATGTTGCCATGTTTTGCAAATTGTAAATGCTGTGATGGAAAGAAACAAGAAACGAATTCAAGTAATGTTACTGAATGTAAAACCAACGAAGAAGAATTTTGAGTTATTACATCCAAAATGACTGTTGGGCTGAATCTGCCCATTTTTAATAATTTGCAGCAGATGGCATGTTTTAAAAGTTATATAAAATCAATGCGTGAATATTTATTTGTTTTAGTGATCACTGATGCTCACCTATTTTTATTTTTGAAAAAAAAATTGAAGTTTCAAGGTAAAAAAATATGAATTGAACTGTTTTATTTATTTATATCCAATTTTAAATAAAGATTTATGACATCCTGCAACAGAAAAATACAAACATGCTGAATTGTAAGACAGCCCTTCTGTGTTGATAGCTCCAACGAACTCCGATCGTTGCTTGGCAGGTATCGCGAATGTATTTTCTGTATCGTGTATATATATAGAGATACAACTATGGTGGCAAATAATAATGTTGGGCACGGGGTGTATGGATAAGACCATGATGTGCTCAAACACAAATCTGTGGCAGACACCTTTTTGGATAAAAATTGAACAAATCGAAGAACAAATTACATAATTTATTGCCATTTGCACAAACACCTGGTCTAGTAGAAAAAAGAATGGTGGTAGGATGGGCGGGCTAATACGTGCAAGGGTGAAGTACACAAAAATGTTTTACATGGAAGTACTTATAAAATATTTATATACAAATGACACAGCGAGAAATATAATGAATGTCTGTTTATGGTAGTCGTGCTATGCAAATAACATAGGCATGGAATAAATACGATATTGGTCGGATTCGAAGAACCTATTGATACATTAAGAACTAAAATCAAATTTTCCGGATCAGTGACGTCATGACGTGAAAAAGGCATTTGTCGAACTGTTTTTCTCACAACACAGACATTTTTTTAATCGGTGTTTGCGTTGGCGCCCTTATGTTTTTGCACAAACCGAAGATAACACAAACGTATGACGCCAGCAGCTCACGCTTTCTATGTAGATAATGCAACGAAAAGCACATGAATGTCATTTTATCGCAGTACACTCAAATATCCTATTTGATTCAAGAAAACGCTACAGAAATTCATGTGTGGAAGGGTGCGGCAAAACTGTTGAATCAAATCGAATAGTCATCTTTGATCGTGCCACAATATCATTGCATTACAAGCATTAGGATCCACTCGCGCAAAGGCATAGAGCAACAAAAGCTAGTTAAACTTGCGTAACCCAATACCAGCCCAGCATGATACATTGTGTACATATATATGTATGTGTCTAGTGATCTTGTGCAACCAATCACTTACGTATGACTATTACTTAATTACTGAACTTTATAGGGATGAAAATACTTTAACGTAAGCCAGAATTGGATAAAAACTGGGCAAAAAGAACGTGGTTTTGATATCAAGTTCGAATTCAACTCTAATCGGAACCCCGTTACGAATCTTGGCTATTTCTGTGAATGTTTCTAAACTGCGCAAATATGAAATTATGGTAAGTTAGAATATGTTTTTAAATAATACTGCTAAAGAATATTGAAAATAATATGGAGAAAACCACCTAATTTAGTTACAATTAAAACTTATTATACATAGTAAAATCCGCACAATGTATGATATTACACAAGCACGAGTGCTATAGTTGGTTTATTGTCGTTGTATTGCAGAACAGTGGCGTATATGCGTAAAATAGCGCCCATGGCAAAGTTTCAAAATGCGCACCTTCGATCTTCGACTGGCAATTTTTAACGACTGTTGCTGAATTGAAATATTTGTGCGCTTTTTATTAAGTAAAATTACGAGTTTCTAGTACCATGATTAGATTATTGTATTAGAACAATTTACGATTAAAACTTTTCGCGCCCCTATATGACCCAATTGTTTTACAAGAAAAAGTGTCATATATCTTATAGCCTACGGCAGATAGGAACGTAATTCTTTTCATAGTAGATGGAAATATTATGAGACAATTAATGCTTTTTCCATGGGATTGTCTCTTTGTCTCAGTTTGAGCAAGTGGACGCTGTATCTGTTTGTCTATCTAGATATAACGAATGACCTGACTGTTTCTTAAGGTAGAATTTACAACTTGAGCGAGTATATCTGAGGCCCGAACTCAAAGCTGAATTTTTCTGAAATTTTTTGGAATAAACATCTATTTGACCAAATTAGGGAGCGAAAGGGAACTAGCGCAAATCTCAAAGAACGACAGGAGATTTACACGAATTTGATAACTTTTTTGGGATCTTTCAAATGTTATTGCTAAACTAAGCTTAAGTTGTATATTGGTTTTGTTTATTTATATTATTTGCCTACTACTCATAATTCATATGCTTATCACAATCACAATTTCAAAGCAATATCATAACTTTGTACACACCACAGCAAATTTATTTCCAATACCAGAAAACTTGGAAATCAAATTACACACAAAAATTTAGTCCTCGGTAATACATAAGGTCCAGGGTGATATTGGTCCATCGCAGCACAGTCCGTCTTTGCAGTCGGCATTTGAAAAGCATTGGTACGTGCCGAGGGCTCGTCGCTTTCGTTTTCCTTTAAGCTGTGGGCAATTGGGATCCACCACTGTAAAATAAAATTAGAAAACATGACGTAAAACGGGTTCCCGTTGAATTCAAATAAACATGATAAAATGAAATCTCACCAGGTAAATCCCTGCATAGCAATCCGCAGGCACCCGCAGGGCAGCAAATTTGTCCACTTTTGCAATCTTCATTCGATTTACAGGGCCTTCCATATCGACGTCCACGACAAGATGCACCTCTTAAATGCGACAATCCCTCGTAATTTGCACATCTGGAATCAGGTGTAGGAAGTTCGCAATCATTTGTTACTTCCCGCGTCCAATAGTAGTATGTTATATAAAATCGTGCAACGCAACCTCTGCAGAAGTTTATGCATGTCGCTTGAGGGTGATTACGACATTTGGTATTCTGGCATGCGGTCGGATTACATTCTTTGTTATTTGGTTTGCATTCGTTCCAACGTACACCTCTCGCTGAAAGTTAAAAAAAAATATTAATATCTCAACTTAAATATTAGCTTTACTTGGCTCCTTTTTAATATCCAGAGGAAAAGTTAACCTCCCAACAATTTTATATTAACTAGACATCATTTACATATTTTTTCATAGTAGGTCGAACCACTTATTTAATCTTGCCACTAGCTAAGATAATCAAAACTTCAATATATTCTGAGAATTCTGTATCAATAATAGGCTTCGCTAAGTTTTGTTTTGTAGAAATGATTCAATATACACAAATGTCTCCAGCAAGTATGAGAGAAGCACGCAATAGTGCGTAGAGAGTATACTTTCTTTATACTGTCAATGGTAAAACATTGCATACCTTGGCATAATGCTAAAACACCAAACAGAATCGCCAAGCGAATCAAAGCTGACATTTTGCTGCTATTCAATCACTTAGTCAAGTAAATATGATCGGTTGTAAGTAAAACTGAGAGAAACATTTCTTAAACAAGTGTTTATTTATAAGCCGGCGGCGGTTCGCAGAATTTTTTTTTATCAATTTAAAATTTAATTACAAATTATGCTAAATCATTGTTTCCATGAACCAGCTCGAATTAATTACACAAAATTACACTTGTTGAAAATAACTATCAGTCCCACAATTCGCGAAATAACAAAATACTTGCGTTACAATAGTATTTCAATCGTTAAAAATATGTAATAACAAGGAGCAAAGTGGATAAACGTGTTGTTGTTGTATAAACACTAACCCCGTGAATCGCTTTGAAAAAAGTAAAACATTTATGGCCACTTCACGTTTGTACTGTTATACGTTTGTGGCGCTTTTTAAATATGCGTAACAATAACAATAGCCGAATAGATATCATGTGCAATTTCTTCTAAAACAATGATATGAATAACCAAAGTTGTTCATTTACTTGGCCTAAAATAATTAGTGACATGTGCGCATATCCTATTTTATTATTATTATTTTTTCTTGTGTATAAGATTCTCTGTAATGTTTTCAAATGAATAAAACAGAATATCTTACTTTGTTTCACGTTGGAGTATAATAATTACAAAATTTCAATATATTGATAGTTTCTTTCAAGACGGCAAATATATCATATATAGTTATTCGTTACGAGAGTAAAATGTCCAAGTCATTTTTATGTATTGTCCTTTTATACCATTGGCGTTAGAAGTACAAACAATGATTTTTGCCATAATTACTTCCAGACATTAGGACTTAATAATCAATATGCTTGAATCAAATGTGAACGGAAAGTTATAAATATTACATCTTACGTAATTAAAAAAATTTAGTTTAAAAATCTGATGCCACCGTCCTTGTTCGACTAAAATAATGACACACACAAGTTTGAGGCATATTATCAAAATTTAAAAAAAATGACAGGAACTGTTATCATTATCTCAGAACAGTGTATAGTGCATAGCCGTAGGGTAAATGATATTGCGAACCTTCAAAAACATTGCTTCAGTACTACTCACACTATTAAAAATTTTCCCTATACTTTACCATTGATTTTTTAACCATGTACCGTAATAATCATATTACAAGCCATCGTGAGGACATTGAAATCGTTCAGCAACCTACATTTCATAACACATTAGTCGTTATTTCTCATTTTAAATGAAGTAGAATGATTAGAAAATCAAATTAAACAATTTACGGGGACGTCAAGCGGAAATTGACGTATCAAACCTAGAATAACAAAATAAATTTGCGACTAGTCGTATAGAATAAGCCAGAAGTCGTAGAGAGCGTACAACACATCTGTTTTATAACAATTTCACAAAATTAGTTACATTACAATCAAAAATGAAATCTATCTAACATTATGTATTTGCTTACAGAAATCTATTATTATTATTGGACACGTAGTGGACATAACGATCGTTTCAATATTATGTTGTTGTTGTTCTTGTTCTTGTTCTTTGACACGTTTTTAAAAAGTCGCTTTTCTCTTTGATTACTGGACTAATTGCTTTGAAATTTTCAGTGGTTGAAGATGAAATTTTTCTCCAGAAGGCTATTACTTTTATTTATTTCAAATATTTCTGTTAGCTCTGTAAGATTTGTTTTGTCTGCTATGACGTCACTAAACGTTCTGCGGACATCGGACGCCATTTTGTGTCCAACGGACCATCTTGCAATTTCAATTCACGCTGTCACAAGACAGGACCTTCTAAAGATAGAGAAGTTCTGGTACCGTAACACAGCGCGGTGACACTGAACTAACTCGTAGCTGTCAAAAGCTTGAAAATCCATACAAATATGAGAAATAAAAAGATGAAACTTGGCAGGTGGGTAGAGTTGTGTTTCTTTTAACCATATTTGAAAGTTTCGCGTTTCTACATTTGAAGGAGGGGGAATAGGGGGTGTGCATTTCCGATACGTCGATAATATCTTTGTCAACCAATTTGCGGCCACCGTGTTTTCGTCTGTTTGATTGCTGTGATGTGGTGCTTTGTTTATAATTTAACGAGTTTTGTTCGAAATAACCGTGTTCTTGAAATATATGACGGTCAGAAATGCAATAAGAAGCCCAATGTTTTCACGCTGTCACAAGACCAACAATTGTCAACCAATTTGCGACCACCGTGTTTTGTCTGTTTGATTGCTGTATGGCTGCGTATGCGATAGTCTCGACGCAGCAGAAACGATGATCAAGGCTTGAAATCCGTGGTCGCACACTGGTCGTTCGGTCGCAAATACGTCTTTCGAGGGCCGTACTTTGGGGATTTGTATAGCTTCAACCCTTTGTCGTAGAAAGTTAATACGAGGTTTAGCGTGTAGAATAAATGCCGCCAATGCACCCACGGTGAAAAAATTGACAGGTTAGATATATTGGTTTTTGTTTTATAGCGGTTTGAATGAAATTGTCCGCAGACTGGCTACACCACCCTAGGCCTGGTGAGTTGTCCGTGTAGTCGAATTGTTCATCAGCCCCAAACGGCTATGACAGTCACTGTACCAAAAATTGTACCCCGATTCGGCTGATGTTAAGTTGACGCATGTTATTTAGTAACGTTTTTATCTGAAATGTTTGACTGTGGTTCGGTACCTGATTCGATAATACGATACATAATTGACTCATATCACGAGATATTTCAACTGATGTTTCAATTGTCACAGGACCTAAAATATCTATGACAGTCCCTGTACCGTCACGGTACCCCGATACAGGTACTGGTAATTCACCGCCGGTATGTTAGTCGTTGGTCACCGCATATGATTTTTGGAGAATTGTTCTGCGTGTCCATATATTTGAGCATTGCTCTCTTGTTAATAACATGTTTATGCGCTGTATAAAATCAAGTGAATATTCTAAATTATGATTGACCAACAATTCACACGACCATTTTACATGAATATTCCCAAAACACAACAATCACTTATCATATGTGTAACCCTAAGGTGGAAACCATAGCAAACCCTTTAAATGAGTGAGTGACAAATTCATTTACAAAACACGTTCTACTCATTGTTAAGCCCTCAATACGACAAACAACAAAAGGGAAAACGACTGTAAAGTTTTTTGGATGAACGAGTTTAGGAGAACACATTCCGATATATTATCTATAACAGCCTTTTTGGCCCGCGGGCCACGGGTTGTCCGACCCTGATCTATAACATAACGAAGAGAGGTTAGGGCAAAAGCAACAATGTTTATTAGTTGAAAGGCCATGTGATCCGAGACGGCCGAGACTATTGTGTTGGTAAGTGATCCAAATGCTATGAATGTCCAAATGTTGACCAATGATTGCCAAAATACCAAAGGAGCTACCTGGATCCGTCCAATCAACAGTAGTCAACTTCTAGAAATCTGGAAAAGAGGGGTCACATACACATTTGATATCTAGTTTTGATATAATCAGAGTCAATTCTGTAGGACGCATTTGAAAACCAAACCAGATATACAATTTGGGCTAGGAGCAATATAGGAGACAAATATATTGTGGCGATGCTGACTCTGTAGTCGGTTTGAACACATACTAGCATCTTTCTCGATTCTCCTCTGTTGGCATATATGTTGTTGCAAATATTGGGTTAGCAATGAAACGACTATAAAAACGGCCTTCAGGCTATGTTGGCGGTGGTTGAAATACTACATAAGAGACAGATTATCGGTGATGGCGCGTTAAATTCTGGGTAGGAAAGGCAACCAAACTTTTTACAAAGCTCGAAAACAGTATGATTGGTGATTTTATCTTTGCGCCAATGCCACCCGAACATCATTCCACAAACGATCTATGTGAGGTGTTCCGATTTTGTCTTAAAAAAACACAAAAAAAAGAATATTCAAAAAATATCAATAACTATAACGGCTAGTATTAAAACGCATTCGATGACTGATAATATTTTCTATCTTCAACTTGGTTTGCCGTACTGTGATTGAAGCAATCTGATAAAGACGTATAATTGAAACATCGAAAGCGTGTTTTGTCCGCAATCATTAAATTTTTAACCAATAGGATACAGTAATATTCAAAAAGGTTTATACTATGGGACAACATATGTTTTAAATATATTCTTCCCCAATAATTTTAAAGATATGTTCATGTACTAAAGAACATTGTTTATATTCACCGATCTTAATTGCAGAATATATATATATAAATTCCAGCTAAATCCAATATTATATAACTCTAATATTAGCAATTTAAAAGACCTGAATATAATATTTGAGATCTTATCTCCTGTATCTCTACAGAAGAATGTTGTTTATTTTTTATGATATGAGGCCTCTCCGTAACTAGGAATATGTGTATCTAAATCAGTAAACTGTTAAAAAAAGATCAGTACTTCTCAAACTTTTTCGTCTTATGGTACTTTATATATCATCTTCGCCCCAGGGCTGTTCAATAAAACGTGAAGTTACAAAGAGATTTTACCAAATCAAATAAACTATCGTGATTCGTGGTCTTTTCATTGATTTGATAGCAATCACGACTGAAAATCCCTTTTCTATCAATAAAATGTTAGGAATGAGTGATTCAACGGTTCTACTTCGGTAAAAATGAGCCAGTATTTGCCATATCTTCTGTAAAATTCATTTTGGATTTGTCATCATTTTGAAAGCCGATAGACTGATAATGACGTTCAACTTTTTTTTTACTTCAGCTGGATTAGCAGAAAATTGTTAAATCTACGATGGGGCTGTGAGATCTGTAAAGCGAATGTGCACATATTTCACGCGATTATATGGAGGCGAACAACATGCTCACCCTCAAAATTGGAATAAAAGGTGCTGCTACGAAAAGTGGATACGCATGTATCTCATTTGAAATCGTAAATCAGAAGATCCAAGATTCCGAATTAGCCGATCTTCAGCCAAGCGGTCGTAGAAGATAGCAAGAAATATATTTCCCTCGCACGGGTAGTGGGTGATCGGAATCCCACAATACAAATTCGGATGTCAACACGATACTCGAATACGGCAAAACATCATAGAATAATCGGTTAACAGAATAATATA